ACATTTGAACTCTTCTCAATCAGAAAATGATTGGTTACCCTGATACCACAATTTCCATTATTGCACTACTGGACATGCCATGTAAGGCTGGTTGAAATATCGATCACAGTGTCCACAGCTGAATACCATGACTATTGATGAGAGTCTCCTACTATCAGACTGCACAACACTTTCTGGCACTATGAGAGCTATTGTGCAGGAAGGCATATTTCAGCCAATTCCCAGCTTGCTTTCTTTATGTATTTTGATAAGAATATGAGGATATGTTTAGAAATAGGGTCTTAACAACTAGTTTTAGGGGACACTGGCAACAGTGCCAATTGCCTATATTATTTGGGTCGTTGGGCCTTTTTAGGCAACAAATCCTAGGGAGGTATCCCACTACTAGCAATGGAGTTTTTATTTAATAACCTATGACTTCTGGGAGCAGTACTGTAGCTTGACTTACACTTTTTAATGAGCTTACAAACTAATAAGTTTCCATAAGGCGTTGTCATATATTCTTGGATTTGGTTAATATTTTTTTTGAGAAAGGGTTTCTCTGTGTAGCTTTGTGCCATTCCTGGAACACACTCTGTAGCCTAGGCTGGCCTTTAACTCACAGAGATCCGCCTGTGTCTGCCTCTCTAGATGTAAAAGATGTTGAGTTAAACCAAAATGTATATTTCAAAGGTACCTTGACTTCAAAATTTAGATATAAGGATATGTTGCTTTGGAAAAGAGACTCTGCTTTTGTTCCCACAGAAAGCCAAAGGCTATGGATTTGTTCCAGATTAAGATACATCAGGTTTGACCAGCCAAGACCCCCTGAAAGGTCTCCGATGACACCAAGGCCCAGATGATCCAACATCCAGGATGGTTTGAAGGCAACTGGCTCAGACAATACACCCTCATGGACTATTCCATAATCCTAAAATTTTCTTTGTATCCCCATAAGATACAGCGCCCCCCTCCAGCAGGAAGTAGTAAGAGAAGCTACGCCCAAATTCCCAAATTATATGTAATTTTGCTTTGTTAAGGTTAAAACCTTCCTTTTTGAAAAAAAAATGGGGGAAGTGCTGTGGGATGTTCTGTATGGCAAATGTGTTGCTGATTAGTCAATAAATAAAACACTGATTGGCCATTGGCTAGGCAGGAAGTGTAGGCGGGACAAGGAGGAGAATAAAGCTGGCAAGTGGAAGGCTGAGTCAGAGAGACACTGCCAGCCGCCATGATGAGAAACAGCATGTGAAGATGCCGGTAAGCCACGAGCCATGTGGCAAGGTATAGATTAATGGAAATGGATTAATTTAAGCTGTAAGAACAGTTAGCAAGAAGCCTGCCACAGCCATACAGTTTGCAACCAAAAAAAAAAAAAAAAAAGGTAATGGGGGCCACTCAAGTGGATGACATCAAGTTCACCTGTGTTTTTCTTTGCTTATGTTTCAAACATGAAAAAAATCTTGTCAAAACTTTCGATCTGCTTTGTTTTTGGATCTCGACTTTTCCATTTTTCTATAGTTTCTAATTATTAATTCTTTCTTGTATGATGGAAACTTATCATTATTGTGTTTTTTTCTGCCTTTTGGCTATACCAGGTATATTTTTAAAGTCTTCAGAGATTTTCCTTTTGAAGTCCTTTGTTCTCTGTCCCTGCCTTGCTGGCTCACATGCAAATTATCAAACTGAGACTGCCCTCCTCTATACCATTAAATAGGTCTTTTTCCTTCCCCTGCTCTTCTTCCTCTTGCTCTCTGCTCCATTCATTCCTATATTATACTGGATCCATGTTGAAGCAACTTGGTAGATTTAGACTTGCAACTGAAAATGTCTTCATATTTGAATAATCACCTGTCTTCATGTTTGGCTAATCATTAGAATAGATATACAATTGCAGATTTAACAGAATTGCCTTTAGAAAGTTGAATGTGCACTATTTTCTTCTAGTTTTCAGTAGAAACTAGTGAAACAGTTGAGTACTTTGATGTTGCTCTTTTTGAGACAACCCATTCCCAGCTCTATTGTTACCCTGAGCCTGTTTGCCTTCTCTAAACCCAGAAAGACCTTCTGCCATTCTTAATGCTGCCACAGAATATTTTATATGAACATCAAGATGTAAATCTTTCCTTCATTTATGACATTGGGTCTCTGTGGACTAAATCGAATAACTTGCCTTCTTCCCATTCATCATAGCATTCGGTGCAGAAACTTCTCACCATCCTTATTCCTTTACTTCTTTCTGGGATTCTGGTCCGTTTTCTAAGAGCTCTTGGCTTCTTTCTCACATTTGTTTCAGTCTATTTATACTTTCCTCTTAAATGCTTGGAATATCTTTTACTTTATTTTCTAAATTTATAATTTGGAATATAATACTAAAAATCATAAGCATTAAATATTGTCAATTTTGTCTCTGTGACATTCTCTATTTTTTTTTTGTTTTAAGCCATCTCTGATTGTCCCAGTGTTTTCTTTTCCTGTTCTATGTGATATTCATACTCCTGATGATCTTTGACTGATTGTTTAGTAAAGAATGAAGGTTAAATGTCTAGCATTGGCTTGTTTTTTCTTGATGAAGTATTTTTCACTCTTATTGAATCCAGCATGAGCAATAATTCCCAAGTCAAGGCAGTTTATCTGCAAACACTTAAATTTAAGGGTGATTGAGACAATGCTTAGATTATGGGGATCCTCAACTCTAGAAGTGAGGAGGATTTTTACTAGGGGACTAGCATCACATTATGGCTTCTAGTGTTTCCTGAGAATCCTTTTTGAACTTCCTTTTTTTAAAAAAAACTGACTGATATTTTGTTTGTAGTTAAATACTGGTGACCTCTACTTTTACAAAGCTTGCACAAGCAGAACTAAATGAGATCAGCTATTTGACACTGAGACATGCAACCCTATGATTTCAGTCCTGTTTCTAGTCCCAGTCTGTCTTTGTAATGACCACTGATTTTAAGATCAAAGACTCTGACGTAGTAAAGCAGGATAACTGTCATTCATCTCTTCTCAGCCTCCCAATGTGTAATGTGTCTGTGTCCTCCCTTACTGGACAAGAACTAGCCCTGACAAAACCCTCCTATACAATATACTCCAGGAAGATATGAAAAGGAAAGGAACTCTGCTCCACTTCTGAGAAAGGAAAACTTTAAGCATCAGTTGTAAGTTATCTTTGGTCTATAGAGGAGGGCATGTGGTAGGAAAATACTGAATGTAGCAGTGTCAGGCCATGTCTGGATGCTGTCACTGTCAGATGGCATGCAAATAAGTATTCTTATTAATATAATTCCCCAAAGGACATTTCTGTTTTACTGATGGACATTCTGTTAACTATGCATACTTTGGTTGATTTGTTCTTGTGATGTTCTCAAATCAGGAGTGGGCTGCAGAGGAACAAGGATGTAGTTCAGTGATAGAGTGCTTGCCTAGCATGCCCAAAGCATGTAACCAGTTATAATTCAGAGAGAGAGAGAGAGAGAGAGAGAGAGAGAGAGAGAGAGAGAGAGAGAGGTGTTAAAATGTAGAATGTCAAGCAGAACTGGCTTTGTTCTGTTATCCTATTCACCACCATGGTTGATGTGGCTGATATAACTGGCAAGTGGATGCCCCGTTCTTCCCTCATCACTCCATGTGTGTCCCTCCCAAAGCTTCCAAGAAGATGACCTTCCCTGAAGAATGAGGACTAGTTTTCAGTCAAGAATATGTGAACAGTCAGCTGTGCTTTCTAGCTAGAACCTTCAAATAAGTTCTCAGGAGACAGAAATGTGCTACTTACAAACTCTTTCAGGGACTACTACCTAGTTTACAACCTTGAAGCCTCATCACAAGAGATATAAAAGACCATCAATATAGAATGAAGAAACACATTCCCAAATGCCCAGCTTGACTGTGGAGGAGTGGGAAGCATCATGTTAGGAAAAATGAACACACAGCTTTTAATGTGAGGGCATTTTGTGGCATCTTCATGCCATCAGTCATGTGGCTTGTGCCAAACCTTTTCTGGCTTTATTGTAGTTATGTGAAGAATGGGAACAATAAAACCAATTGTCATTTTTGAAAATATTGCTAGAATTCCTCTGTTTACAATGACTCAGTTCTGTCAAATATCTTTCAATAAATATATTCATCCCCTTAAACTGCAAAATTCAAGAAAGATGTAATGGCTTTCCTAAACATAATAGCTAGCAAGTTTTGTGTGTTATTATGGGTTACAGAATTCTTACTTAGTGTTTTTTGTCTGTTGTTCTCAATTAAATCCTTACCTCAAGTCTGTGTGGTAAACATTATTATGTTACAGTTGTGGAATATGAAGCTCTGAAAGGGTAAGTAATTTGCCCAAGACGGTTCTATTAAAAAGTATAAATCCCACCAAAGTTCCAACACAAGTCTTCTTGACAGGGAAGCTTGGCCACATAGCTTCTAGTACCACTAAAAGCCAAGGAAAAGAGTCAGAGTCAGGATTTGATATATATTGAACTAAATTTTAGAACTATACAGTAGACAATGAATTGCAAAACTCTGGATTGCTTTCATTTGGGGCCAGATAGCTAGCTTCACAGACACACTTTGAATCTGTGGTCATTATACTCTTGAACCTACAGTCCTCCCAAATCAAAGTTCTACCCCTGAAGGTGTTTGTGATAGGGAGGGCAGCTTATGAACACACCGGGTACAGACATGCAGCCCACTACATGCTGATGTACAGGTTGGAAAGTCACTGCACATTTGGATGAACTTGGGTTAAGAAAAGCTGCATATGGTCTGGAGAGATGGCTCAGACATTAAAGGCTAGGCTCACAATCAAAAAATCAAGAACTCACCCTCCCCTCCCCCACATCCCCACAAAAAAAGAAAACAAAAACAGAAAAACAAAACAAAACTAACAAACAAACCATGGTGCATGTGCAAGGGCACAAGTAATACAGAAAATCTTGGAGTCCACTGGAAATACTGCATTACTTGAGTAATTAACTTCCCAGGGGAAGTCATTAACAGACCTTTCCTTTCCCTTCCTTTGACAGGTCCAGCTGTGAGATATAGCAAGTTCAACATGTCAGAGGCAAAGGCACCTCCCCTGCTGGGACAGCACACGAAGCACATCCTGAAAGAGGTCCTCAGATATGATGACAGGTCTATAGGGGAGCTACTCAGCTCTGGTGTGATACAACAACATGAAACCAAGTGAGAGAGGAGAATGCATCAGAAAACTGCCCCTGGCTGGCCCAGACTATGCTCTGTGCATGCCTCTCCCTAGTCTTGAGCCCACTGAAAGGCAGAGTGAGAAATGCAGTATCCTGCCTGGAAGCTCCTTGGATGACCTTAAAGTCTTGTGCCCATTTAAAAACTTACTATTTTGACTTTTCCCCTAGAAAATAATTTGTTGGTTTGTGGACTTTGATTAATTCTATTGTTTTCATCCGTAAGAACTGATGACCATTTGGTGAAAGAATGTTGTTCTGATTTGATTACTCCACAATGTACATATGTATGGAAACATCACGTTATGAACTGTGGTTTCGATTTGTCAATTGAAAATAAAACAAAATATAATTTTTTTTCTGGAAAAGTCCTCTTTATTCTATTTACCTTAATGCCCTAAAATGTCTACCTGTCTCACCCACACAAGCCTGAAAAAAAGCAGAACTCTTGACATTTTCTACTTGTACATAAAGTCCTCATTTAAATCTTAGTTAGGAAGTCAAAGCAATAAGCAGAATGACAGTCTCCGTGATTGATTTTAAACAGTATAACTGAATTTCAAGCCCACAAACCCTTTGTTAGTCTGTAATTTAAATCACGGACTTTGCTGATGGCTGTTGTAAGGCTAAACTCCACTCTGCCCATGAGGAGTAAATATTTGCTTTATGTTGTATCCCTGGTGATATTGTGATGTGCAATGGAATATCAATTCCAACCTATTCATTTAGGGTGTGAGTGTTTGTGTATATAAGAGAGCATAGTGGTCCCTCTCTTGCTACCTTATTTTGAGACATAGCCAAATGCAACACACTTTAAATAAATGTGAGGTGATTCCTCACATGTTAAAGTATAAAGAATACCAAATGGGAATATGATAGGAAACATTTCTTTGTAATTTCAAGATCTCCATAGAAGACAGCATCATGTCTTTGTATTTTGATTTGTCAGCCAATTACAGCTATAGAAAAATCTGTCTTGAAGATAAAAAGTGATCAGGATATACATATATTAGAATGAATTGTCATAGAAAACTTCAGACCAGGGCATCAGGTGCCATTTGGTCAGTGTCCTGGTATGACTTCCATTCATGGCCATAGGCACACATACTATAAAGCATTGCATTATATGGTGGTAGTAATTGAAGGCTAAATTACAGATGTTCATCTTTCAAACTGATTCAAAGCTAGTTTTCTTTTCATTTGTGATGGTTTGAGTCACTTACTGGTGTTTTAAAGTGTGATGTGTCTCTAGAATCAAGGATATCAAATAAAAAAAGTATCTCTACAGACTTTTCAGAGAAAAGCATCCTAACTTTGGTACTCCCCCAATCCCAGCTTTGCTGTTCAATGTGTCGTACTCTGAAGAATCCCTGCTATTACTCCATTAGACAGAATTTTGTCATAATGTAATAGTTTGGTGCCTTCTGCAGTTCTTTGCCTCAGTTCCTAATTTGTAGGGACAGATATAAGATGTTTCACATTAAGCTATGCATTTAAAGATTTAATTATTTTATGTGTAAGAGTGTATTTCCTGCATGTATGTATGCATATCATTTGTATGCCCAACACCTGCAGAGTTCAGAAGATAACATTGAATCTCCTGGAAACTAGAGTTTAGATGGTTGTGAGCTACTACATGGTTTAAGAGCTGAATTTAGGTCCTCTGCAAGAGCAGTGAGTGCTCTTAACCTTCAAACCATTGTTTCAGCCCCCAAGCCAGACATTTAAAGAGAATGCCTTTATAGTCATATGACTCATATGGAAATCAGGAAAAAGCTGGGTGACAGAATTGATAAAACCACATATCTTGAAAGCCAAATGCATCATCTTTTTCCAGTGAAACATAAAAAAATCTCAAAATGCAAATACTCCTTATTGAGCAATAATTCTAAATATGTGACTACCCATGTGTAGGAGGATTCTGTCATGCATAGGGCCAGAATGTACCTCTTAAACTTTCAGGGTCGATAAAAACTGAAGTGTTCAAATATGGTAGGACCACCACTGAAGCATGACTGTGTCTCCAGATTCTGACCTCCACAGCTTAGAATGATCCAGGAGAACTTTGGATTTCTGGTCACTCACCCAAGTATTTACTCCACTGATTAAAAAAAAAAAAGTTCAGGCTATGCTTCAAGTTCGCATTGATTATCAGTCCTGAAAGAAACACTGTGCTTACTAAAAATTTAAAATTTCTAGCAATATGCCCCAAATCAAATTATGCTTATAAACAAATGTGCTGTTTTAATTATCAGAGCTGGTTATCTTACAGAGTCCCCAAATAACACACTACTAAGATACCATATGCTCAAGTTCAATTTGTGTCAAGGCCTGCCTTCTGGAAGGTTATGTCTGTGATTGGCTTCAAAAACTCCTTGAAAATCAGTGAGTTAATTGTTACAGAATTGGAGGTATGTCCACAAGCAAATGAGCTTGTTTTTCCTGAAAATTTTTCTACCATAATTTTCTTGTTAATCAACACATTTTTTTTCTGGTAAATAGCCTGATATGCTGAATGTTCTTTTAGCAGAAATAAAATGAACATTGATGACTTTTGTATGAATGCTATAGTTATCCTCCATCTGATCTTGTGTTTGAGACACCCAATGACATTAGAGATCCAGTCATGACTGAAGAAAACCAAGAAGGTCTTCTACTGGCTGTTTGATATTGCAACCTTAGCCCACCATTCTCAGCTATCACTATGAGAGGGCCTCTATGTGAAGATCTCACAACTTCTACTTTTAAATCTTCTTACAGAAATGTTGACCCATTTGTACATCAGTTCAATTTGATGTTATACTTCTGGCAAGTTGCCTATTTTCAAATCTGTGTAGGCAGAAAGTATAGTTTGTGGTAGAGCACTAGACTAGCATATGCAGGCTTACTCCTCAGTCCTGCAAAAACAGGTCACCAAAAGCTATGTAGATGTGAGTCTTCCTGACTATCCTCTTACAAGGGCCTAGAGCTGCCTTCATCAGGAGGCCCAATTCTTTAAGTAATTGCCCTGAAGAATCTGAGAAAGAATGGCAGTGACAGGACACATGAGACTGTTCATAACTGGTATCTTGGAGCTACTGACCCTAGATTCTCAATGACAAAAGAGGCAATTGGGGAAGAATATATTCTTTACCCTCCATAACCCTATTTTTGATTACTCAATTTTGTAATTATTCCCCAAGATAATCTCCTGTCATTGACTCATGAATGAAAGACTTTCTGCTGCTAAAGTGAGCAATCATGAGTGGTGGGACTCTGACTGCTCTGTTTAATACTAGTTATGGGCTTGGTCTCAGTTTTTCCTGATCTTTCTGAAAAAGGGAAAGCTCTAGATCATGAGTAGTCACTTTAGTCCAATGGCTTCCAAGAGGATGGATGGTGCCTTGCCCTATACCTGGCCTTGCTCTCTGTCATAGGATAAAGGGATCCTCATAGTCTTTCAACAAGATACAAAACACTTCCACACATTCACTTCCCTACTTTGTTTTTCTTTGCAAATCAAACCATTACTGTCTGTTGGTTTCTTTGGCTCCTTACCACAGAGATTGGAAGAATGCTTTTCCTGCTTCCCAACCTGTTACCAATACCACTTCCTCCCCTCCCCCCAGCAGCATAGGGCTTACTCAATAGTCATATGTTCAGCTTCAAAACATGAAGCAGAGAGGTTGGGAGAAAAGAAAAAAGGTAAAGCTGCCTCAGAAAAAACTGTTATTTCTACTTCTTTACCTCCTGTGAACCCTAAAGAAAAAAAATCACATTTCCTAAGTATCTCGGTATGAGCGATGTGGCAATCTATGTAATATATTCACCCTAATAGTCTTGGATTTGTGATTTAGAAGGAATTCCTGATTGTACTTGATAGATGCTTTGTGACTGTGAATGGACATTGTGTTTCTTCCACAGAGAAGGTCAAGAGAACTGATATTTTCTCTTTGTGGGAAATTGTTAACTACTTATTATGGAAATAAAAAAGAGAGAGCTCTGCTCCTTGTCTGAGTAGGATTGCCCTACATAAGCTGAACATGCTTACAGTGATGCTGGCACTGCTCACCAGTTCTCTAATCCACAAGCCCAACTCTGGAAACAGCGCTTGCTGCCCTGAGAGCCTTGTCATCCTGCTTTGCTGAATGGGAAAACCTGAGTCAACAGCAAACTAAAATGTACTGTTCTTAAAAGCACACCAGGATGGGAAATATCTAGTAACTTGAGATTCCAATCCTGAGCCCATGTTTCCTACCTTTTGAATCCCAAATGTTTCAAGTGATTCTCCAGCTTTATTTTCTGGAAAATCCCAGTGCAAGAAAATGGGCCCAATGATGAGTTACTTGGGACTCATGAGGTAAACCAGTTATGTGAGTTGCTTGACAAAGGATCACAAGGTCACAGTGATCAATCAGTGTGCTTTATGCAACTACTCTCATACCACTTGGGTGATACAAGGTGAAATGAGGACTTTGGTGGGTCTCTGCGTGGGTGCATTCTGGGGGAAGGTTTATTAACTTCACAAAAAAAGTTCACAGATCTAGAATAAGCTATGGTAGGGGAGGTAGAAGATTCTGACAGTAGTCAGAGCTATACCTTTAATTGCTTGCACAAAAATGGAAGTAGATTTATAAGACTTGTTCACATAAAGATTTAAAAATACTATATATCATATAGTTACATGTCAGTTTTTGTAATAAATAAGATTCAGCAATGTATCAGAGATGTCTGGGAACACCTGAAAGGTAGTCTCTATGAAGAGAAAATCACATCACTGTTTTATTGTGACAAGGCTAGCCCCTTGGCAAAGAAACTGCTCTTGCCTCTGACTGCTGACACTGTGCTGTGCAGAATGGACATATAGGATACACAGGAAAATAAATGTTGAACTTTGCCAGAACAAGGCACAATTTGTTCACCGTTCACTAAAAAGTCTGCCAGATAATCCAGGCCTGTAGGCTGAACATGAATGCCTCAACATTGCAGAAGAACTTTGGGTTACTCTCCAGGCAGCCAAATGTCTCTGTTGTTAGGTAATATTACATCCTTCTGGGTCTTTGATGGAGTTGAATACTAGATAGTTATAGTTGCAGTTTTCCTTAGTTATGATAGAAAGTAAGTTAGATGTAAAACTTTGGATTCACTAAGATAGGATAGATAATACATTATTTTCTCTGAATATGCTAACTACACATGGATAGAATATTGTAAATGTAATTCTTACTTGATAACTGTTTTTGTTCTGTATATTTTTACTATGTTAAAGTTAAAACCTTTCTTTTTATTTAGACAAAAAGGGGGAAATGTTGTGGAATATTATTTTAAGGTGTGTTACATTTGTTTATGCTCTGGCATATTTGTTTAATGATGCAAAAATGT